ATTTTATTCATTTAAAACATTTATTAGCTGCCTTTCATCCTCATGGAGCTGTTTACTATGCCCATAGACATCCCTTTTCATATAATCCTGCCCTCTTCTGGTGCCAAACACCACAGCATGGCTTAGAAGGGTGTAGGTGGGGCATGCCACAAAAATGGTTTGAGGCCATGTCAGCCCAGCAGAACCTACTTTCCAGGGCACATGGGACAGGGAAGAACTGGGGTTGGGTGGGTAGGGGGAGCCTACTGCATTAGTTTGTCCGCTTTCATGAGTTCTATACCATTTTCCACGTAATTCCCAGGTAAGTTAGCTCGATCTCAGGAGCTAAGCAGGGTCAGCATACAAAGTTTTCTCTAAGCTGCACCAGTGGGTGCTGGTGCACACAATTTTGACTGGCAGCGCAGGGATTTTTGTTTCAGCCCACAGGTCATTTCCTCCCCTCCATTAAAAACAGTGTAGGGCACCTCCTTCTGAGGCCCATAGAGTTGGACCCTCAGGCCCAATCTTTTTGAAACTTTGGGATTTTTTTTGAGGAGAGGCACCAGCAACTGTGCTGCAAATTTGTAGTAAGTGCCTCTACCTCAAAAACAGTCCCCCCAGTTACCCCCAGATCAATTCTCCAGTGTAGCCTATGGGGCGCATTGTCCCCATAGGCTACAATGGAGCCCCTATTACACTTTTCAGTATGATTTGTAAGCTGTTTTGAGTCACAAGGAAAAGCAGAATAAATAAGTAGTTTGGGCAGGTTGATAACATTTAAGCAACTTCTTGTCTGTTAGGTTAGGCAGGGTTCTGACACTGATTGATCCACCTCTGTTATACTGACCTGTAATGCTGGTTGTCATATTCACACAAAAAACCCAAAGTAGAGTGCAAGAGATTCCCCACCCCCACCCCAAGTGCTGGTGTGTTTTCCAAGGCTCAGAACAGGGTGATGGTCTGAGGCCTGGCCTACCAATATAGTAGACTAGGGCCAGGTCTGGAGGCCAGGTCTACCAATATAGTGGAAAGGGGTGGGTGGACCTGTTCTCCAGAGGACAGGTCTACAAATATAGTGGACTGGAGTGAGTAGACCTTTTCTCTGGAGGACAGGTCTACCGATATAGTGGAAAGGGAGTGGGTGAAGTTTGACTTGATTCTGTTTTCTCTTATAATGTTTAAATTATTGTTAAAATATAGTTTAAATACAATTTAAAATAATTTATTTTGGTATTTTACAAGGTTATGGAGGTAATCGAAAAACTGATTTACGTGATAGTCAAATGTAGACTTGCTTACAAATTTTAATGCTGTTAGCTTTTTTCGCTCCCAAGGTAGAATTTCTGCTCACAACACTGTGGAGCTTAGAGGGAACATTGGTCAGCAATGGTTAGTATTTTAATTGGAGACCACCAGGGAAGTCCTGAGTCATTAGGCAGAGGCAGGCAGAGGCAAACCACCTGTGAAGTCTTTTGCTTGGAAAACCCCTATGGGGTCTGAACTCTCAGTAACTGACCAGGAGCGAGCTTTTGGAGTCATGGTAGATAACTCACTGAAAATGTCGACTCAGTGTGTGGTTGCAATAAAAAAGGCAAATGCTATGCTGGGGGTTATTAGGAAGGGGATTGAAAACAAATCAGCCAGTATAATAATGTCCCTGTATAAATCAATGGAGTGGCCTCATTTGGAATAGTTTGTACAGTTCTGGTCACAGTATCTCAAAAAGGATATTATAGCATTGGAAAAAGGGTAGAAAAGGGCAACTAAAATGATTAAGGGGATGGAGCACTTTTCCTATGATGAAAGGTTAAAGAAATTAGGGCTCTTTAGCTTGGAGAAACAACATTTGAGGGGTGACATGATAGAGGTTCACAAAATTATGCATGGGATAGAAAAGGTAGCGAAAGAAGTACTTCTCTCGTTCTCACAATACAAGAACTCCTGGATACGCAATGAAATTAACGAGCAGTGGGCTTAGACCAGATAAAAGGAAGTACTTCTTCACCCAAAGAGTAATTAACCCGTGGAGTTCACTGCTGCAAGAAGTGATGGCAGCTACAAGCATAGACAGCTTCAAGAGGGGATTGGATAAACATATGGAGCAGAGGTCCATCAGTGGCTATTAGCCACAAGGTATAGATAGGAACTCTCAGTCTGGGGCAAGTTATGCCCTGTATTCTTGGTGCCGGGGGGGGGGGGCAACAGTGGGAGTCCTTCTGGAGTTCTGGCTTCACTGGTAGACCTCCTGATGGCACCTGGTATTTTTGGCGACTGTGTGACACAGAGCATTGGACTGGATGGGCCATTGGCCTGATCCAATGTGGCTTCTCTTATGTTCTTGTGTTGCCCATCAGTTGGCTGTGACTTGACAGCACTTTCCACCGCTGGCAGCCTGTCAGCACAGGTCATGTGCAGTGAATGCTGATATGTGTAGCTCCCAAATGATGGCAGGTGTATGGCTGAAAGACATGACTTTGCGGGGGGGTGCAGCAAATGAGTTTCTTGAACAGAAACAGCAAATCTTCTGAGAGCTGTTTGGATTTTACAGGCCATGCTTGGCTCTTTATTTCCTAGCGGGTTATTTCTATTGCCGCAGCTGTTGCAGAGTGTGTGTCAGTTTAAAGGCCATGGCAGGCTGGCTGTTCTGAAGCGCAACAAGTATTGCAGCAAGGGGACTGGCTACCCATGGCCTTTAATCATATAAAAGACTTGCTCCAGAAAGGGAGCCAGCTCTTTCCCCTACATATATATTTGCCCTTCCTCATGTCCTTTTAGGCCCCCTTCATGCAATTATATTGTAATGCTCTGCAAGTCTTTCCGCATTTTACCATGTTAGCTCTCAAAGATTTCTACATGTGCAATTAAATGTTCTAGTTGCTAAATCTGTTGAGTATGTACAATTGCATAAGTTGAGGTTGTGGCATTTGGATAATGGATAGTGTGGGGAGGATGAGTGTCTACATCTGTTAGGCTCCAGGGAACGCTTGGGGCAAGGGGTCCTTCAGAGATCTCTGTCTGGGACTATTTAACTTTCATAGGTGATCTCAAACACAGGTGGAAGTAGCGTGATGGCAGGGTCTCTGCATAGCTCCAAATTGGTCAAGGTGGCAACATCCTAAACAGACTGTGAAGAGCCCCAAATGTCCTGCAAGAACAAAAGTTCTGCCAGAGTTGAATGAAGCCTTACGTCTCTGTAAGGCTTGGTTTTCTTGCAGCCAGGGAGACTGTGCAGACCTTTCCCCTATCGTTCCCCCCCCCCTTTGGTGTGTTCCTTTGGTTCTGCCTTTCTCCAGGCAACAAAAAGTGAGTGTGGATACACAGTGTGACTTTTTTTTACCTGCAGAAATGTACTAAGGATGTACATGGAATGAGCCCTTGCTGTGTTCCGTACTCCAGCTGGGCCTGATGAGAGGAATGGAGATATCAGTTGTTGGGATGAAGGTCACCCAGCCCATCTGGCACCAGAGCCCAGGCTGATTATAGCCTGCAGCACTTCTCTTGCTAATCAACCGCACAGTCACGTGCCTCCTGCGAGAAGAGCTAATGCCCAAGTCTGTACTATGTGTTTGCAATCAGTGGGATGCGAAATCTCTTGTACCTGTCTAGTGGTGCCTGAAACACTCAAATCACTTATCATTGACTGCTTAATGCTCATTTGGCTTTAATGTCTTTTAGATCAATGAAGCTTCCAGCAGGGCTGTTAACGTTCTTTGTGCCAAGGAATTGGTGAAGAATAGCTGCCGTGCACTGAGCAAATGGTGTGCATTGGTTCAGTTGGAGTTTTTGTAAATCCTGGGAGGAAAGCTACGCAAAAAGATTATTTTTAAAAACACAGAAGTCCTTTTTGTTTGTTTCAGAGAGGTGTGGAGAAAAGGGAGGTGGGGGAACACACAATACAGGAGATTTGTCATTCCAGGCTCTTGGCAACCCTTGAAAGCCAGTCGGAATTAGTCTAGAAACTGGGAAACTCTGGTTCAGCTTCTCAGCCTGTCATGAAGCTCTCTGGATGACCTAGGGCTGGCCACTTTCTCAGCCCTAACCCACCTCACCAGAGGGTTAGGATAAAATGGGTGGATGGATGGAGCCCTAGATATGCCACACCAAACTCCTTAAAGGAAGACCAGGATAAAAGCGTAACAGACGGCATTCATTGGGCTTTCTCTTGTAACTGCATTTATTTATTTATTTATTTATTTATTTATTTATTGCATTGATTTTACATTTTTTAAGTTGCCTAAGGTCTCATTGAAAAGGTGACCTATAAAGGAAGGAAGTGTAAATAAGTAAATAGGCCTAAGGCTCATGGAGTACCAGGTTCTGTGCCTGCTTAAGTAAACCCATGGGTACAAATTGTCCCTATCTTGATTACAGCAAATATGTTAATGTGCAGCGGGTTTGGCCATGAACTGAGTTTGTTTGAGTGGACTCTCTTTAAAGTTTCAGTTGGAACTATAAAGAGGAGTGGCTCCTGTTTACAGTTGCATCCTGTGCCTTCCCCTATGTTGCATCCAGTGTGTGTGCGTGTGCAGCCGTGCGCACACGCGTGTATGTGTGCTCCCGTATTAGGAATTGCCTGGACAGTGTGGTGAGTTTGGACTACTAGGCTATCTTGCATTTTGGCTTACTTTGGAACTGCTTTGCTTCTCTGTTATCACTATCCCTCAAAGCTTTGTTTAAGCCCCAGGTATGGACAATGCCACTTTTGACTAGCTGCACCTTTTCTTAGCCCTGGGTTTCTTTGTTGTGCTGGATTCGGGAGGTTGAAGTGAAGAACACACACAGCTCTGGGTAATGGAAATGTTTTATTGTCTCAATTAGGCCGCTAAACCCAGAAAAATCTTTAATAGTGTGGTTGGCTAATGGGGAAATTAGTATTGATAGGGGAAATCTATGTCTTGAAGATTTATTTTACCATTGTGAAAGTACGAATTGACTTAAGTGGGGAGGGTGATATGTACCTACCTCTCTTGGATGTTTTTTAGAAAAGTTCTGCTCATTCATCTTTTTTCCCCCTTCTCTAGGTATCTCATGCAGTTGCTAAGCTTGTATTAGTTAGCTTCCACTGGCAAATCTCAGAAATTTTGGAAAGGTAAGCATACATTTGGATCCTTTCCAATGTGTTCTCAGGCGTGGTTATGGTTGCCCTGGTGTATGACCTGTGCCGGTAGATGGACAGAGGGAGTGTGACCGTGTTTATTCTCCTGGACTTTCAGCAGCTTTTGATACCATAATAGTATCCTTCTGGACTGGACTGGGAGTGGGAGGCATCACTTTGCAGTGGTTCTGGTCCTACATGGACAGTAGGTTTCAGAAGGTGGTCCTGGGGAACTGCCACTCAACCCTTGAAGTGTTCAGAAACTTCAATTGGTACACAGTGCTGCAGCCAGGATGTTGACGGGAGTGTGTTATAGGGACCAAAGCACTCCAGTCTGGGCCCATCTACACAGGCTCCCAATCTGTTTCTAGACACATTCAGTTGACCTTTAAAGTCCTACATGGCATATTTAATGGACCACCAAATCCCTTATGGACCTACCCAGTTATCTTCTAAGGCCTTGCTTCAGGTGCCCTTGCCTACTGAGATTAGGCTGGCAGCAGGCAACCCAGGAGAGAGCCCTCTTGGTCATGGTACCCAAATTCTGGAACTCTCGCCATAGCGAGACTTGTCTGTCCTGTTCTGTTGCCATCATCTGCCAGCAGCTGAAGACTTTTTGTTTGTTTGTTTGGCATTCCTTCAGTGATCTCTCCTTCCTGCCCTATGTTTTAATAGTTGTTTTTATGGGTTTTGTATATGTATTTTAGCTTTGAGTTAATTGTTTTAACCATATGTATTTATTTTGGGTTTTTTAAAAATCATTCTTAAGATGCCATTTTATTGTGTATGTTTTTAATCTGAGTCGCCTTGGTGGCCCTGATATTAATAAATATATGCAAGTCTGAGTCTAACATTATGTGTTTCATTCTTGGAAGTTTGGGGAAAGTACATCCCTTTGCTCGAGCCTGAACTAGGAATGTGTTGTAAATAACCTTTTGATCTTCGACGTGGTCTCTGTGCTTCACACCGATGGGTTTAGTGCGCCTGCGCTGAACTGATCGGTATTGTAGGAGGCTCAATGGATTTTTGCACACAAACCTCCGGCATGTGCAGGAGCCCCAACCACGCATGCCCAGAGGGGTGGGCGTGGAGATCCCGCCAGTTCCTTTCTTACCACCGTACTGTGAACATCTGTTCCTGTTCAGTGAGCCTTTCTACGGTTTTTTTAGTCAGCTCTTTGGATCTCGTTTCTCCATGTTGTCCTTTTTGTTTTCCCTTGGTTACTTAAAAAAGGGGAGGGGAGCTTATTTTTGTTTCTCTGTGTGTGGGGGAATTTGCTTGAACTTCACTCAGGCCTTCGGGCCTCCGCCGCCGGCCCCCCCCCCCCCCCCCCGGATCTTTCTTTCTCGACTTGGACTTTTATGGCGAAAAAGTGGGGATTTTTAAAATGTTGCATCCAGTGTGGCAGTAAACTTGCCCCTCCGGACGGCCACACGCTTTGCCTTTTTTGTTTGGGTGAGGCACGCTGCCCTGATTTTTGTCGGCACTGTGCAAAATTTTCGAATCAATCTTGAAAAAACAGGGCAGCGCGTTTATGAGTGGCGCTTTTGGAGTCAGCCTTGTCCCCTCAGCCCCCCGGCATGGAGTTGGTCCAACCTTCCAAGACTTCAGCACCAAAGGCAGTCTCGTCCGATATAGTAAGATCGACATTGAAACGTTCGGCTTTGGCGATGCACTCCTCTGCTTCGACCCCTGTTAGAAAGAGTAAGAAGGAGAAGTCAAACGCTGGGCATAAGTCAGCCAAAAAGGGCAGTCCAGTACCCCCTAAGGCTGCTGGTTCCCATAAATCAATGGGCACTGCATCCTCCCTCATGCATCCCGATGCCGCTGCTGCTCCGATACCGGATATTCTGGAGGTTTTGTTGGCGCTGCCCATACAACTATTGGACTCGCCCATTCGCCAGGTCAACCTGCCTGATGGGGCCGAGCAACCCTCCAATGTTGATGCAGTTGAGCTGTTGAGTTGCTCTTTGGGGGACCGTTCCCCTTCTGTCTCCTCAGCCGCCAGTGCTCATTCCCCGATCGGCATCGGCAGCCATTGACCTCGGCAGTTTACAGCTCCACATTCGCATCGATCACGCGACTATTTTAATCGACACTGAACTTTTTCCCTGCTCCCTGTGACGTCACTCCTCCAGGGACAGGTCGCCACGAGCCTTTCATCCACTTGCTCCACCTTTCACTCCTTGGGACCAACATCCATTTCACTACCTTTACGGACCATACCCACCTTCCTCCACTATGCCTTGGCTAACTCCTGCAGAATTCTCTGACTGGGATCTATATT